CCTCTTTGGCTTTTCATTTGCCTCAACCTCCTCCTGAGCCCTTTCCCATGTCTCATCCCCCTTCCTTCCTGCCCTTTACCGGTTCCTGCTTCATGGGTCTCTGAGGTCAACCATCATTTTTTTCATTGGTGACTTCTGTGCCCCTGGTGGTCCCACTGATTCTATATGGTCTGGTGGGTGCTTGGCTTTTGCATTTTGCCACTGTGTGGGAGTCTTTCACCACAGACACTTGGGTTCTGCGGGTTTTCTCCAAAGGGCTCCTTCATCATTTTTCTTACACTGGTCCCTCATCCCATTTCCAGCCAGCATATGTTCGAGATGGTTATTGACCTTTTTCACAAGGGCACTGTGGAAAAGGTGGATCCTTCTTAGCCAGGTTTCTATTCCTATTTGTTTCTTGTCCTCAAAAAGACTTGGGGCCCATCATTGATCTTTTTTTTTTTGAACCACTTCCTCAACCTTTCTCAATTCATGGTGTCTTACCTCTCTCTGTGAATGACAAAGGCAGATGTCTTGAATGCTTACCTTCACATTTCCATCTCCCCAGCATCCCTGTATTTTCTTTGTTTTGTCCATCATGGTTGTGTCTATCAGTTCTGGGCTGCCTTCGGCTCCCTTCACATGCCACCTATTTCCTTCACACTCAGTTTCTTCTTTGAGAAGTGGCATGGGTAGATTGGTTGGTCAAGATGGAGAAGTCTCTCCTCTCCCTCACTCAATGCCTTGTTCATCTCAGGGTATTTTTCATTTCCTGTCTCAGTCGGGCCCAACATTCTTCCCTTTGTCTGTTATTTACAGAGCTTCTGATTTGGACCATTTCCTTCTCTCCTTCTTCAATGCACAAGAAGTCTATCACTTTTGGGGATGTGGGATTCTTTAGAGACCCTCATTCCTCTCAGTCAAGCCCATATGCAACCTCTTCAGTGGGCTTTACAAGATCAGTGGAACCTCGTTCAGGATCCCATGGACATCCCCTATCCATCTCTATTATTTCTTCCATGTTGACTTTGCTTGGTGATTGAACCAAAAGAACACCACAGTGGGTGTTCCTCTTCCACCTCTTTGTCTGTAGGTGCACCTCTTCACAGATGCCTCTCTTTTGGATTGTGGTGTGTATCTGGACATGCAGGAAATTTTGGGATATTGGTAGGTAGCAGAGTCATCTTTGCATATCAATTTCTTTGTACTACTTACTGTTTGTCAACATTGGTTCATTTCCTTCCATCTCTCCAAAACTGACATTTATGTTCCATTCAAACAACTACACAGTTGTTTCATACATCACTCAGCAAGGGGGCACTCTTTTGAGGTCCATTTGTTTCCAAATGTTGGACTTCATGTTTTAGACCCACAGCCATCACATTTGTTTGATAGCATTTCATATACCAGGTACCCTGAATTTGGTCACAGATTGTTTATCAGGTGCAGACAAAATTTTCCCCATGGAGTGGTTCCTTGGCCCTCATATGTTCAGTTGGTTGTGTTCATGGTGGGGTACTCCAGAACTGGATTCATTTGCCACCCACCTGAATTCCAAGCTTCCCAGGTTTTGGTCTCCTTTTCCTTATCCTTTGATTATAGCTGTCAATGCTCTCAGTCAGGCTTTGGGGGCTATTACCTTATGCTTATCCTCCTATATATCTTCTTCCTTTGCCATCACACAAGCCACTTCATGTAGAGTCCTCTTGGTGGCTCCACTTTGGCCAGTGCAACAATGGTTTCCAGTCTGCACCCACTACTACTGACTCCTCCTGTTCCCCAACAACCTCACTTGGATTTGCTACATCTTTCCCTTCCCTCACCCCATCATCATGCATAGCTTTTGTCTGGTCCCTTGCCAAACAGGCCAGACTAACCCTCCCAGGCTGCTTCCCTAATTTTCCACTCAGTGTGTCCCTCCTCCATGTCAGTATACTGACATAAATGGTATGTCTATGGTCGTTGGTTTTCTTGTCATGGTCTTTCTCTGTCCTATCCTACTCTTCTGCACCTGACTTTCTTACCTGGCTTTTTGACAAGGAGATGTCCGTATCCACTATTGCTGGTTATCACAGGGCATTGTCAATCACTTTCAGTTTCACAGGATTTTGCCGTGTCTTCACTTCTTTGGTCCTCACTCCTTTTGTTTATTTCTTCCATCTTTGCTGTCCTCCATATCCTACCACCCTCCCTATTTGGAACATCAGTGTTCTCCTACATGCCCTCATTCTTCCTCCTTTTGAACCCGTCTTTCTGTTCCTTATATCATCTCTCCTTAAAGACCTTGTTTTTTTTCCTCCTCTTGGTGTGAGGATTTCGACATTTGAATACGTTCGCTTTTGATATCTCTTGCACATTATATCACCAGTCCTATATCTCCTCTACCCAGATTGGCCTTTCATATCCAAAACTTAAAACACATGTGAGGGCAAATTTGCCTTCACTTCAGGTTGTCAGCTTTATCTTTATTCTGATCTGGATCGCCTCTTATGTCCTGTCTGGGCTCTCCACTGCTATGTGGCTCATACTGCTCCCTTCTGTGGTTCCCATTTCTATTTGTTTATTCATTGGAACCATTCCTTTTTCCATGATAGTTTTCGTATTACTCTTATGGGTTGGATTCGCCAGCTGCTTCATCTGGCTTATTCTTCCCTTTCTACTGATGATTATTATCTCATCCAATTCTCCTCCAATCAAATCTGTCAACTTACAAATGTCCCTGGCTGCCTGATTCCATCATTCTTTAGAACAGTTTCTTAACCTTTTTGGGAAGCTGCACCCAATTCGTTTACAGAATATGTACTTGCACCCCTTGTCTTTCAGGATTTGTTAATTGTTCTCTCTTACGTTTATTTATATATCCTCTATAACCAATAGAAACTCATTGTTTCCATCTATCAAATGACGTATTATATTATGTTCTGAACAGATGTCAATTTCAGCTGTAATAAAAGCTTAATTCTTGTGGGAACTTTAATGACTAGCTTTATAGAATTTATAATAGCTATTGTCACATATTTATGGTTGAAAAGTATAGAAAGTTTACTATCAATTTGCTCTCAAGTGATCTCATGAGTCAGAGGGAGAAACCCTAAATGGAAATGCCAACATGTTTCTCACCCCCAGAAATGACATTTCTCACCTCTAAGGGGTGCATGCACCACAGGTTAAGAAACACTGCTTTAGAAGATATACAGGGTGATTCAAAAAAATTTTTACACTTATACGCAATTTTCTGTTACGTGGGTTTGATGATGGCAACAAGGTTGAGTTTAGAGAAAGGGAAGGAATGTTGTGGCCTGGATGGAGGTTCACCAGTCTCCCACAATCGTACAAAGGATGTTTTTTCGATACTTCAAGTCTAACCCACCTTTCAGGTTGACTATTTATTGAGTGTACAATAAGTTCATCAGAACTGGGTCCATTGCAGATTACAAAGGAAACAGTGGTCGTCCAAGAACAGGAAGGTCTCCTGCAACGTTTGACTGCTTTCAGACATGTGTAGATATTTGTGGAGAGCAAGTTTAGACTATATGAAACATATAAACACATGCAAGTGTTAAAGTGTTTTTTTAATCACCCTGTACATTTATCTCACATTATATGCATCATCTGGCTGTTTTCCACACTACAGGTTGCTGTCTACCTCCTGTTGTCATCTTGAGCTCCACAGTTTCTCTATGAGTGGGCAGGTGCTCTTTTTTTTATCTTTTTTTACTGTGGTATTTCTCACATATATGGATTCCAGTCAGATACATTTATCTTTAAACCAACACTGTATGGTCATTCAAGTCAATGCCCATTATTGAGATGGGGTGTGTTCTGCAAGACCACTTGAAGGTTCTGTCTCATGGTGAATTCTGAAGCCCTCATGAAAGTATCCAACTTCTGGCAAACCAAGGCCGTAATGTCTTCGTCAATAAATGCAGACCCAAAGCCACTGTAGACAAATTACGGGTAACTGCTGTAGGACCATAATGGTAGCAGTACTAGTAGAAAAATAGCTCTGTAACAAAACAAAATTGAAGACCATACAAATTATGGTCTGTTTGAGCAATAATGCTTTGATAGAGAGCATTTTACATTTCATTTTGTACATTTTCTAGGGGTGATGTATAAAATAGGTATGATGACATGCTAAGACAAAATTTGTCATGTGTGTGTTACACTAATGGAAATTCAGGATTTTTTTATAAATTTCCTTTTAGAATTAATAACTTAAAATTTGTATACTTTTAAAATATGGATTATAAGCTAAGATGTTGTGTTATTCTAATTGGTATAACATTAAAAAAAAATAGTTTAATAAAATTTTGAATGTAAGACACTAAAACCTTGTGTCATGTGCAATAAAAGGTACCCGTGCCGATAGGGTTAAGGAAGAAGTAACTTATTATCATTACTTGGGCTTATTTACACCGATCAGTTTAAAAGAACTAACCACAAAATAGAAAAATGGTACAACAATATATTTACTCTTACTGTCACGAAGGTTATAGTTCATAATATATTCGAGTGTGGTAGTTTTATATTTTTTTATAGTTTCTTTGATTATTGGTACTGTGGATTGAAGTTGAAGTCATTGTTATTCAAGAGATGATGTGGAAAATAAATGTAAATCACATTAACGTATTAAGTTAAAAAAATGCAGTCATAGAAAGTGAGATTAGCAACTTCCCCATATGGAGAAAGGAGTGTAAGATATTTTTTTTTTCAGTGGCATATCAATTAATATGCTTTCAATCTTTAAAGATTGCTTAGCAAGATTTTCTTTTCTTTTATGAAATATTTATTGGTGATCACATAAATAAAGAATATTTTTTTATTAAAGAAGAACTGATTTCATTTATGCAATTGAATATATTGACAACCATTAATGTCTACATATGTCATGGCATTAAACTCCTCTTTATTGTAGAAATTATAAAAATAGCAAGTTATTTATTTGCCAGGTAGTTGCATCTTGTTTTCTGTCTGTGAGTCTTTTGCAAATTTTTGTCATTTAGTATTTTCTTTTACAGGATGTAGCAGTCATTTGTTCTGCAGCTGCAATTTAAGCATCATGTGACCAACTTTCTGTCAGTGATGATGATGATGTCACAAAAATACCGTCTTTGTGCATTTTGTGTAGGGATGCTCTTTGGTAAGTCAATAACACATTCAATTATTTATATTTTTTTCAGCTAGGAATAAAGAATTCTTATAAAACCAGTCATCTATACATGACATTTCTTACCAGAATGGCCCCCCAGTGGCACAGCGGTATGTCTGCGGATTTACAATGCTAGAAACCGGGTTTCAATACCCGTGATGGGCACAGCACAGATAGCCTGTTGTGTAGCTTTGTGCTTAATTACAAACAAACCAAATCCTCCTAGAATGAGGGCTGTTTCAGTCAATGAGTTGAATATCTGGGCTATTTAGAGATTAGTTTTACAAGTTCTATAAATATACAACAAGGATGGAAATACATGCAAAGCCACTATCTTTTGTTTTTTTTATAACACTGGTTTTGAAAGACTTTTTTTCCTCAGTGTCCAGGACAGTAATGCAAAGACTTTAAACTTATGGAAGAACATAATAAGTTTGTCTTTCTTTTGTGTTTCATCATCTCTCATTATATTACTTAATATATACAGCCTAATACTATTTAAACTCTGAAAAACTCTTTAACAACCATTATAATAGTTGAACTGCTAATACAGTGTTGAAAAATAGATATTAAAATGGTTTTGAATTTGCAACTCATCGAATAATGTGACAACCACAACTGATAAAAATTGTAGCAGAATGGAATGTATCAGAACTTCATTTTGAATTTTTTGCTACTACAACGTAGGTAGTGTGATGCCACAAAAAATTGATCACTTTTGGGACAGGTAATAGCTATTTCTAACACAGTTCATAAATATGTATTCAGTTCATTTATTTAGAATTTCCAAGACAGGGATATCCCTTGTACTTAATGCTATTAGAAAACAAAGGAATATGAATCAATTTCGGGAGACAAAACCATTCAGAAAGAGACCTTCAACAAGTCATATCCCAGCCATGTTAAGCAAAGCTCAGCATCTTGTAACAGATGAGAATTCAAAAATGAAGACCACTGGCTAATCTATCTGTGTGCAGGCAGAAATACTTGATATAATAAAGAAAGGTCTCCAGCTGTAAATGAAGCAAAAGAGGTAATGGCTAACCAAGATAAGGCTTCTTGTCCTACCTCCCATTTAACCATTGCAAACCTCAAGCAGCAGGAGACTGACATAAGTTTCTCATGCTATTCAAATTGCCAGATGCAGCAACTATGGAATTTCGTACAATTAGTCTGTTGAAATGGACATTGGAAAATCATTGTCCTCATACAATAGATGGCTTATGGAAAGTCAACAGAAAAGAGTCATGTTCTTTGGACTAATAGCCTTGTGGATGTAGCCTTTTGTAATGAAAAGTGTGCTTCAGGGCTATTGTCAAAATGCACTGGTATAAGATAGAGCATTAACAATTTTATGGCATGGATGTAATGACATGATGAGCTCCAAAATCATCTCAGTATACTATATACCAAGTTTCAATGCAAGCTGTAGAAACTAAAAGATTTGTGATTTGTGGCCATGTTTCAGAAACAGTCAAGAGAGATAAATAAAAGCATTCCTCTGGACACTGTTGTTTTATAAGCTGTTTTATTATACTTTAAATTTTGGGTTTGATCAGTTTGATAAGCTTTCAGTCAAAATTCTCCAGTTATTGACTGTTCATTTAGTTCTGGTTTTAGATACTTAATGGCCAATATTTCATTGATTCATAATAAATAATTTTCTGCAGTTCTAGTAATTTGAAAATGTTCAATAATCATAGGATTGTCACTACAAACTAGCATGTTTCAAAATGTCTGATGCCTCCACACATCATAGTAAACTATATTCCTTTACTCTGTCTGCCAGTCTTCTTGTAGTACATACTTTATATGCTCTAGAACATTCAAAGCATTTATACAGATTGGAGCAGTTTGTTTGCCTATTTTGTTTTTAAGTGCGATATAGTTTCTTATTCTGATGATGTGTTTAAGTATGACACAAAGTTCTTCTTGTAGATAAACATTGCACTTACTACTACTAGTAAAGTCTTGAGTTTCTTTATTTTCAAGACATGTTTACTGGTGAATGGTACTGTTTACATGAAGAATCTTTTTTGGTACTTTGTATATTTATTTAGAGAGTGGAAGCTTTCTTGATGTACTTGTTGATTTTGCTTGTTATTACTTTCATTGTTACTTAAATATCAATTAATGTTTTTTTTAATAATTTTGTATAACTGGTAAGTATATGTATACCAAAACTCTAATCAAATTTTCCTTAAATTTCTTTGGTATAAAACTATCCCAGTTAAATTATAAACCAGAAAATGTAGGTTTATAATGAATTTCAGTTCTAAACTTTCCACCCTTTTTGATGACCACGGTGTCTAGGAATGGTAGATAAGTATCTTTTTCCATGGTAAATTTAATATTTCCATGTTGTTTATTTAAATATTCAAGAAATGTTTCCATGTGTTTTTTATTCTGAAATACAGTAAAAGTGTTATTTGCATATCTTTTATATCAGTGGTTTATATTCGTTAGGACATTCTTTTAACCAAATCTTGTCATAATAACACATAAATACATTTACTAATATTGGGATCACAGCTTTGTATGTTACTCTAAAAATTGTTAGTTTTAAGTTGTTTTAAGGACCAGGAGTATAGCTATGTATGTTACTTTAGAAATTGTTTGTATCTAAGTTGTTTTAAGGATGAGGAGTTTGTTACTCTAGCAATTGTTAGTTTCAAGTTTTTTTAAGGACCAGGAGTATAGCTATGTATGTTACTTTAGAAATTGTTTGTATCTAAGTTGTTTTAAGGATGATGAGTATGTTACTCTAGCAATTGTTAGTTTCAAGTTGTTTTAAGGACCAGGAGTATAGCTACGTATGTTACTCTAGCAATTGTTAGTATCTAAGTTGTTTTACTAACTCATCTATATGATCATATACCTTTACAGTAAACAAGAATTGTGATTCTTTAGTTGCTTTCCAATACGATATCTTACTTTCGCTCACATAACAGCTTTTCTTGACTTTAACTGCCCTTTATATGTGCAAATATTTGTACATCACTAGTCCTAAAACTCCCACCTACCCTCCCGTGTTTTCGCATGAGGCAACTGTGTGATAACATACAAATGAGCATGCGATAACCCTCCACCAATAGGAGTGTGACACAAATCCTAGCACAGCTGACTCCCTCTGTGCAGCTTAGCTCAACTTCACTTCTCGATTGGTACTCGTAGTGTTTAAGCATGTTTTTTGCTCATGAAATTTCAATCAGTTACTTGCTTTTTGGAGAACTTAATTTTTTAAAATTTGTTACACTTCAGTTCTCTAACTTTTCATACATACATGTTAATATTACATGTCTTTAGTAATTTTTTTTTCAACTCCCTGTATACATTTTCTATTTTTTCAAAATCATCATAGTTATCATGAATTCAGTTTCATAAAATAAAGTATTTACCCAGTCTTCTTTTTTTCTTGCCCTCCATTGTCAAGTAGAGTTAAGCCTGATTTTTTTAGTGATTATGGTAAAGCACTTAACAATTTTTATTTACTTAAATAATACACCAAAGAATATAGAATAACATGCAAAAATTAGACAAATTCACTTACCTCTCAAAATTTTCCTGGCTTTCTAACTATGAGACAAGAGCCGTTACAAATTCATCCAAGCTAGTCATTAACTTTCCCACGGAAAAGATGTTGCTACTCCGAATGACATTGACAACTATCACAACACAATGCTATACAATATGCCATTTGATATATGAAAACCTTGACTTTCTATTGGTTATAAATAATATATATATAATGAAACATAAGAGAGAACTATCAATCAATTGTGAAAGAAAGAATGTGACAGGTGGGTGTGGCAGGAGGTGTCTGATTTTCTCTTTTGCTATACACGCATTATAAGTTGTAAATCACTCGGGGAATGTGCTGCTCACGTTAAGATATTGAATTACATTACCAACGAGCTGCTCGCGTGCATGCTTTGTGAACAATTTTAATTATATTATTATTTATTTTACCTGTTCTAGTCGTAAATAACTTAAAAAAATCCATACTTTTAATTTTAGTATCTTTTATAATAATAAATAAAGAATAAATATGAAAAACAATAAGTTCATAACATTATACATCTATTTATAATTAAATTTTATTGTTTTATTGCCCTTTTTATTGCCCCTTGAACGTGTCTAACTGCAAAGTTTTTAGACATAAGGTTACATCATAAATTCAAAAATCAGAGAAACACTTAGTCAATTTTTAGTTAATAGAATGCTAGTCATCAAGTGAAGTATTTGAATCAGTGTTTGTTAGCACTTATTGCTTAATCAGTTAGCTGTGAAATTGTACATTAGTCATAGTTCCATTAGTGAGTAAGTCTCTGTGAAAGTGAAAACTTTGTCAACTTAGGACAAGTACAACTGTGTATAAATGATAGTAGCATGTAGGGACACGAGCTCGGTCCCTGGGACCGAGTCATGTGACCTTCTGTACACGTTTAAAGTTGACATAAATTTAATATTTATAACTCTCTATATATTGAATATATCTTCACGAAATTTGGCAGTCGTTCAGTTAATATTACAAGTCTTTCACATACAAAAAGTCATATTTCTTAGTGAAGTACTTTTAATAAGATAAAATAAAGTTTTGTCCATGAATATATTGAGTATTTGTTTTGAATAGTCAGTGTGCGAAGTAATTTTCATGTTGAAATTAAAAATACTTTTTTTTCATCTCAAAAATCTCAAATTTCATTTGTGTAATCCCCAAAACTTCCTAAATGCATTTCAAATGTTTTTTTCCCTAAATCCTTATATTCTTTTATGCTATTTTCTCTACCCTATTTCAAAACGACTTTGTAATCACCAAAAAAAATCGAAATAATTCTAAATTAACCTTCTTTTCTTTCTAGTATGACTTCACATTGTAACCTGAAACTACATTCGTTTATCCTAAGTGAATCTTTCATTTATCTTCCAAGGCCCACTGTATACTGGTGGAATGTCCTCTCCTCCTTTGTCATCACTGACTGTCA